GAATTTCATGTAATTGTTCAGTTACTATATCTATTATTCTGTTGAGTTTCTGATCTGTTAATATATTCTAAATTCCTCTATTTTTGGTTGTATTTTAATTACAGCGTTTAAATAAATTGTGTTTTGCTTAACTTCAAGTAGTTTGACCAGTCATACTGCATCTGAGACACTTTACATTTGCCTTTAAAATAAGAAAAAGTTAGGGTCTATCTACCTTAGAATATTTTTGAGGGGGGTCTGATCTGGTCCATAACAAATTGGGGGCTCTTGTCAGGGTCCAAATCTATAATTCCAAGTTGGTTTAGGATTATCGGACTCGAAGACTGCGAGAGGTAATTGTTGGGGTCTTTTATTTTGGGTGTTGAATTCCATTGGTTTAAGTAAGGTGTGCCTCATGTAGTAATGGCTCTTTAGGTCACTAAGAGTTTTCCAGGTGGGGAGTGGAAGAAGTGACTTTGGGAGTTTTACACAAAGTGAGCAAGGCAATGTTGTTGGAACTGGCAGACCAGTTAGAGTTGGGATTGCCTTTGTCCATGCAAAATGGGGAGGTAATTGCAGAAATAGCTCGACATTTAAGATTGCCAGAAATGTCATCAGAATCTTTGGAAATGACTAAAATTCAATCGCAAATGAAATAGCTTGAATCAGAGGCAAAAGAAAAGGAAAGAATAGCCAATGACAGAACAAAAGGAAAGAAAAGGAAATGAAACAGTCTGAATTACGATTAAAAGCAGAGGAAGAAAAAGGGGGAAGAGGAAGGCCCTAGCAGAAGAGAGAAAAGAAAAACAGAAAGAGAGAGATAACACAGTGTGGAGCTGGAGGAACACAGCAGGCCAGGCAGCATCAGAGGAGCAGGAAAGTTGACGTTTCAGGTCGGGACGCTTCTTCAGAATGAACTTTCCTGCTCCTCTGAGGCTACCTGGCCTGCTGTGTTCCTTCAGCTCCACATTTTATCTCTGACTCCAGCATCTGCAGTTCTTGCTATCTCTCAGAAAGAAAGTGAGTTTGAATTTCAGAAGTCAGCAATTAGAGGGCAAAGTTGACTTAAAAGGGCAGAGATGAAGGTAGAAGATAGGCTTCGTGAGGAGGATAGTGATGATAAGAAAACCCATCATATCAAAAGGCCTGGTGGGGACTTATTTAAGTATGTCTAAGCATTGCCCAAGTTTGATGAGAAGGAGGTAGAATCCTTTTTCAGTTCATTTGAGAAAGTGGCCAGTGACCATATGGGTTTTATTGATCCAAACAAAGTTGGTAGGTAGTGCTAGTGAGATATTTGCATCACAGAGTAGGTGCCTGGAGAGTATGCATGGACAAAGAAAGCCATCTTAAGTACATATCAGCTGGTAGCAGAAGCCTATAGACAATGTTCTGGGAATCTAAGGAGGGACCCTGGTCAAACGTACATTGACTTTGAAAGGATCAGACAATGTAATTTTACTAGGTAGATAAGGCATTGAAAATAGATCAAACATATGACACTTTTAGAGAAACAATTATTTAGGAGTTCAAAAATTCATTTCCTGAAGCAGTGAGAATTCATGTGGAAGAGCAGAGAGTTAAAACTACAAGATTAGCAGCTGAAACAGCTGATAGTTATGAGTTGGTTCATAAATCAACATTGACAGCAATTTCAATCTGTGAGGAACAGAAATTGGGGAAAAGAGAAATCTTCCAGTGATAAGAGAAAAGGGGATCTCATTGAAGATAATAAAGATAGTTTATCACAGGGTATAAAGGAAACCCATGAGGGAGAAAGAGACGTAAAAAGACTCAGGTGTTTTCACAGCAATAAAGTTTATAAAAAGCACTGGGAAGACAGCTGTGGGAAAATAGGATAAGCCAGTGAATTTTGTTGAAGTGGTAATGGAAAACACAGAAGAAGCTAAAATGCTGCACCAGAATGTTCAACCTGGTCAGAGGTTGGTTGAAAAGAAACTGCCAGATCTTCTTAAACCATTTACTTGCAAGGGGGACGTTTACTTGCATATGCCAGGAGGAGCAGGTAAAGAAATTACAATTTGAAGCGATATCGGAACATGTTAATCTTCGATGTTGAGAGATGAGGAGATATGTAACTCAGAAGGACTACTGCCAGAAAAGGTGGTAATATGTGGAATTCATGGTGAGATGAGAAGTGCTCCATTATGTAAACGGAGGTTGGCATGTCTGGTGAAAAGTGGAGAAGTGGTAATGGGAGTACTGGAGGAACTCTTAGCTCCAGGAATACAATTTGTCCTTGGTACTGATATAGCTGGATCACAGGTGGGAGTGCTGCCAACTATAGTTGAAAAGCCAGTGGAAGATCAGGCAACTGAGGTGTTACAAGAAGTATATCCTGTGAGTTTTCCTGAATATGTGGTAACAAGGTCACAAAACCACAGGTTGAAGCAGGAGGAGAAATCAAAGAATAAAGATAAGGAGATTGAAGTACAGTTATCAGAGACTATGCCAGTTGGGAATAAACAAGAACAGGTGGAGGACAAAGTGGATATTTTTAGTTCAGAGAAATTAACTGAATTACAACAGAAAATGAAAACAAAGCAATTGTATCAAAAAGGATACACAGAAGAAGTGTATCCCAGAACGTTAATACCTTCAAAATGGCGTCTTGATGAGGAAATGGGGACCATCATGTACTCAGGCGGATAAGAAATGGGCAGAAGTTCATGAAGTGGTACGGTTAGCACTGCTGCCTCACGGTGCAGGGAACTCGGGCTCGATTCCACCCTCAGGCGACTGTCTGCATGGGTTTCCTCCGGGTGCTCCAACTTCCTCCCAAAGTCCAAAGATGTGTAGGTTAGGTAGATTAACCATGGGAAATGCAGGGTTACAGGGATAGGGTTGGGGACCAGGGGCAAGCCTGGGTGGGATGTTCTTTGGAGGGTCCATGTGGACTTGATGGGCTGAATAGCCTGATTTCACATGATTCTACGAAGTTGCATTACCAGTGGGTTATAAAAAGGTGGTGTTGCAGTTAGCACATAAATTACCAGTAGGAAGTTATCTGGGAGTAAGGAAAACTCAAGCCAAAATACAAAAACATTTTTCTGGACTCAACTGCATAAGGATGTAGTTGAATTTTGCCAGACATGTCATACGTGTCAAGTAATTGGAAAATCTCAGACAGCGATAAAACCAGCACCTTTAATACCCATTCCCGCATTTGAGGAACCTTTCACAAAAGATCTTGATTGATTGGGTAGGACTCTACTAAAGCAAAAAGTAGGAATCAGTATTTGTTGACAATAATGGATGTGTCCAAAGATTTCCACAGTCTATTCCACTACACAGTATCACAACTGAAAGGACTGCAGAAGAGTCACTCAAATTTTTCACTAGATGCACACTACCCACAGAGATACAATCAGATCAAGGGTCAAATTTTATAATCAAAATTATTCAAAGTTACGGATAGCACAAGAATAAAACAATTCAAATCCACTGTGTATTAAGCAGAATTGCAAGGCGCATTACAAGAGTGGCATCAAACTTTAAAGGCCATACTAAGGGCTTATAGTCAAGATGTCCAGATGATTGGGATAAATGAATTCCATTTGAACTTTTTGCAATTAGGGATGCACCAAATGAATCTATCAAATTCAGTCCATTTTAAGTTGCAGACTTGCTTGCCAAGCTAGTGTGTTTGATTGCAAACGTTTCGTCACCCAGGTAGGTAATATCGTCAGTGCACCTCCGGTGAAGCGCTGATGTTCTATCTCGTTTGTATTTATATGCCTGTTTGCTGGGGAGGTTAGCATTACTTCTGGGTCTATTTTTCAGTAGTTTGTATATCAGGTCCAGTTCAATGTGCTTGTTGATGGAATTCCAAGGGACTAAGCTGGGAAGCACTAATCTAATTACGCATGATGTAGACATAGGAAATGCTGTTCTAATTAAGCAACATTCTTATGAACTTAACCCTTTAAAGTTGGCACAGGTTCAAAAAGAGATTTGAACGCATGCTCAACGACAACATTATCGAAGTGAGTGGCAGTGATTGGAGCTCACCCATCGTAATGGTACCAAAACCAGATGGTACCCATCAACTGTGTGGACTATTGCACAGTCAGTGCAGTTACAAAGTCTGATTCACATCCTATTCCATGTTTGAAAGACTATATTTAGAAGGTGGAACAAGCAACTTATATTTCTAAGTTGGACATACTTAGAGGATATTGGTAGATACCTTAATCCGAAACAGTGAAGACAATTTCGGCTTTACTGACACAAAACGGACTATACTAATTTAAAGTATTTCCATTTAGTATGAAAAATGTGCTAATCAAAAACTAACCAATAAAGTTATTTCAGGATATTCAGGATGTACATCCACAACCTGGTGGTTTTTAGTTGAACATGGAAGGAACATTTGCAGCATCTATCAGAATTGTTTGATCGACTTCCAGAAGCAGGTTTGGTGAAAAACCTGGCTAAAAGCGAATTCGCAAAAGCTCAAGTCACGTTCCTGGGCCATGTTACTGGTAATGGACAGATGGCCCCATTGGACATGACAACAAAGGTTATTGGGAAATTTCCCCTACCATTAACAAAGAGGGCAGTACTACGATTCCTAGGATCAAGTGGCTTTTATCGGAAGTTCACACCTAATTTTAGCAGTGTGATTGCTCCACTGACTGACTTACTGAGGTGCAGAAAATTTCAGTGGACGGCAGACTATCAGAAGGCATTTGACAGTGTTAACCACTGCCCCGGTGTTAGCCACACCTAATTACCCCATTCAAGGTGGTTATCGATGTAGGTGTCGGTACTGTACTCTTACAAGATGACCATAAGATAGAAAGACCTATTGGGTATTTTTCCAGAAAATTAAATACTCATCAAAAGATATATTCCATAAATTGAGAAGGATACCTTGAGCTTGGTGTTTGCATGACAACATTTCAACATTTATATTGCCAGTAATGTGTACGAGACAATTGTATATACTGATCACAATCCCTTAAAGTTTTTGGAGACATGTAAGCACAAAAATTCCAGACTGTTTATATGGAGTTTATTATTGCAGCCATTCAATGTGAAAATTATACATGTGGCAGGATGAGAAACGTAACCGCCAAAGTATTGTTATGGCTTTAATGAAGAAAAATGGAGCCGTTGGGTGGCGGGAGTAAAGGGATGAAATAGATTATAGCAGTGAATGTTTGCACGCTTACAGTCAATATAATGTACATGTATTGTAGTGTACTCATCCAGCAAGACTAAGGGTTTTAAAAATGAAGCCATCTTCGCATATGGAGGATTCTTTTTTAAAGGGGCGGAAGTGTGACGATGCTGTCATCAGGTTATTTTGTTTTGAAGAGAGGATGTATGGCAGAGGCTCTGAACTGGCTAAAGATGACTTGAGTTTTTTTTTTTTTAAAACAGCCTGAATGGGTGCAGCCAGCTCTCTCAGATCCAGCTTTCTGGGTTTTGGTTTTTTTTCAGTAACATCAGAACATATTGGGGTCTCAAAAGAGTTGGCAGCTTTAGTGAATGTCTCTTGGCTGCTACTCTCTCTGAATCTTCTCTTGAAGCTTTGTTCCTTTCTGGATTGGAAAACTGCATGTGAGAATCTGTGCCTGAATTTTCTTTTTTGCGAATGGTGTTACTAATATTGGAACAGTTAATGAGGAATAGTTTCTCTATCTATTATTCTGTTAAGTTTCCCATCTGCGAAGTTATTCTAAATTCCTTCTTTAGTTGTACTTTAACTACACTGTTTAAATGAACTACACTGTGTTTTGCTTAAAGTCGGGTCTGCCATTTTAAAATATTTTTGAGGGGGCCTGATCTGGTTCATAACACCTCATCCCTTCAACTCCAAGATGGCGGCAGAGTAGCAGCGCTGAGCCTGGGGCTTGTCCGCTCCCATCTGCTTTCTTTTATTTTTTTGCTTTTGCTCTTTCTCTTTAAAAACTGGAGAGTGACCGGTGAAGGAGGCGGCATCCAGTGGCAGTGACAGCAATGCTAGGATGAACCGGACATAGCTCCATTCCAGCCCAGGGTCACCTGGCAAGCGAGGAGGTCCCAGGCTGACTCTCCCAGTGCAAACTCACAGGCTGAGCCGAGGCTCCAGGTCTGCAGCTGGCCCAGCTGCCAGAAAGAGCAGAAGTGCTGGCGGAGGACTCCGCTGATCAATGACTGGTGCAGCATCTGGAGGAGCATCGGCTGGGGAACAGAAGGTACGTAACCTGCGCCCATGGCCCCAGCTCAGACATGGCAGTCACAATTGTGGCATAGGCGGAGGCCCATAACGAAGACCCCAGAGCCCATTACAGAGACCCCAGCTGATGTCAAGCAACAACTGGAGGAGCAGCAGAGGAGGAACAAGATGAAGACAGAAAGTAAAATCTTGCATTATATTGTGACTCAAGTTAGCACCGAAACATGGCAACACTATGTACAACACGCAAAAGACACTTTTCACAGTATTTTTAAATACATGTGATAATAAATCTAAATCTAGACATATAGCTCCTCATCCTTTGCAGTCAGCACCCAGCCTCAACAGGTGTACATAGATCCACAGTATCTGCTTGACTCCAAGGACATTAGAACAACAACAAAGACTGCCTCACCATGACTTATGTTCATTACAAACTAACCTCTGAACATCTCTTCCAAAAAGCAGACAAATTTGTAATATTCTAATAGTAGCCCAAGTGTTTAACACATACCAATGACCGGGGCAATTCATGGGTTTCAGTGCAAATACCTCCTTCTCCACCTCAAAGCTAAACATGTTCTCACGGTAGTGCTGCCAGTGGCCAGACACTTCCCACAGCCGACTGCTGTAGATATTTGGAGAGATCACTTCAGTGAATCCACGTCTATGATACTCCTCCTGTAACAGATATAGATCAACAGTCAACAACAAACTTGCATTTACTTGCACCTCCCATGACATCAGGGAGAACTTTTGAAGCACATGGTTCTAAAGATTGCAAACTATAAATACAGCAAAACTCCACAAAATAGCCATGCGATTAAATACCACAATCTGTTATTGTGACACCATTAGAAAAATAAACATTTTCCAGGGTAAAATGAAAACATGTTCATATGACATGGGCATCACTCAAGACCAATATTCGTTACCTATCCTTACTTACCCACATGAAAACTGCAGTGTGCCGCTTTTGAACCACTTACGCTCACCTCACGCAAGTAATGGTGTTGTTAGGGAGGAAGTGCCAGGATTTTAACCCAGCTAGAGAACTAAAATGATAATTCCCAGTCAGGATGGTGTGTTGTTTGGAAAATGTGAGATTTGCATATGATGGTGCTCTCACATACCTATTGCCCTTGTCTTTCCACATGGTAGAAGTCATTTGTCAAAACGTACCATGCTATCTTTCACATCCTACCAGAGGGGGCAAGGCAGGGTTACAATGTAATGCATTGTCCAAAGATCAGCACCTACGACTGTGTAGCAATCCCTCACAAATGAAATGTCAACCTGCATTTTGTGCTCAACTTCTGGAGCTGGAACCCATGACCTTCTGATTCAGAAAAGTGCTATCCACTGAGACAAGCTGACTGGTATCAACTGCCACAGCACAAGCTCTTTAATAGATAGCTTTTGCCTCCATTTGCTTAATGCTCTCCTCAAGAATCAAGTCTCACCATCCTCACTTACAGCCCTAAGAAAGCATTGTTACTCATAGGAGTCCAGGTAGCACAAGTCCACATATTATTTTAATGTAAATCATAGCTGGAGCACATCTTGTTCAGAACTAAACAAAGGTGAGTGGAAATACCCAGGAGTAGCATTTACTGATCATTTTTCTTCCTTAAATCCATTAGCAGAGGCTTTTCATTTCTGAGCACAAACCAGAGGAAGCTGTTCTTTATACTTGCGTACGTTACCCCACCTCCATGATTTCTAAAACAATATAAACTGTTGGTGTTCAATTGATGTATGAATATGGCCAATACCTGTATAAATGCTGTTAGCGTGTTGTAAATAAAAGCTCCTCTTGGCAGAAAGAAACAGCTCCCAGGGCTGAGCTCATGGAAGAAAAACAATTCTTGCTCCTATAATGCACATGGCAGTAAAATGAGGGTGAGAAGCAATGCACAATCCAGTCAAAAACTGGTCAAAGAATCTGGTCTATACTAGGACTACAGGAACAAAAACAAAGTTGTTACTCTTTTCTTTCCGCCCCACAGTCGATGTCTACTTTCAGCAATTCATGACAGTTTACTCAGGCCTATGCTTGTTTTATGTATGCATGGCTAGAGCTACAGCAGCCACATTACTAGCCCCCTCAGAGTGTGAGAAAAGATCTCCAGCACACAAACTAAGGGTAAATTTAAATATGGGAACCCTCAAAGGACAGTGCTTACACGAGCGGGGTGGGGCAGAAAGCAAACTAATTGTTATTAACCTTCAATGAGTTTGTTGAATAGAACCTTTACCGTAACATCAATTTCAGAGACCATAGTTAAATGAAAAACGGATGAAAATCAGTTCAATCATTTCTTACAATGTTCAATAGTTTGGTCTTCAATGCACGAAACTGCCCCAACCTGATAAACAGATTATTTTATGAATGATTGCAATTAAGCCTTACCTTCAGTTTGTTGACCCTCCAGAACTGACCTGAAATTATTAGGATCATAAGTAACCTAGAAAAAAAAATCATTGGGAATTGAAGTATTACCTCCCCTATTTTCTGAAGGAAGCTTTGTTTATTCGTTATAAAAATTTTGCAAACTAAAATTAATGTGAAGATCAACAAAACCCCAGGCCTGATGACCTGCCCGAGAGTCTTAAAAGCAGCTGCAGGGAAAGTGGGTGCTTTGGTTATAATCCTCCAAAATTCCATAGATTTTGGAAACGTACCACAAGGTTGTTGCAGATGTAACCCCTCTATTCGAGAAAAACAAGAGGAGAAGACAGAAAGCAGGAGATTGTGGGTTAGCCTGTTTAACATGTCATTTGAAGATGTTCGCAAGATACTCAGGAAATTATAAAACAGTTAGAGAAATATTAACCTGGTTACGTGAAAGGGAAATAGTGTTTGACAAATTGATTTGAGGATGTAAGCAGGGTAGGTAAAGGGAAACCAATAGATGTAGTCTATTTGGATTTCCAAAAGACACATGATAAGGTGCCACTTAAAAGATCATTGCACAAGGTAAGAAGAGCTCATGATGTTCAGGTGACATATTATTCAGTCACAGGACACAAAAAGAGAGCCTTCGGTCCAACTTATCCATGCCAGTCAAGTTTCCCAAGCTAAAATAGTCCTACTTGTCTGTGTTTAGCCCATATCCCTCTAAATCTTTCCTATTCATGTACATGTCCAATCGTCTTTTAAATGTTTTAACTGTACCTGTACATACCACTAGCAGCTCATTCCACATACAAATCACCCTCTTCATGAAAATGTTGCCCCTCAGGTCCCTTTTAAGTCTTTCTCCTCTCATCTTAAAAATATGCCCTCCAGCTTTGAACTCCCCCAACCTAGAGAAAAGACCTTTGGTATTCATCTTATCTATGGCCTTCATGATTTCATAAACCTCCAGAAGATCACCCCTCAACCTCCTACATTCCAGCAGAAAAGGTCTCAGCTTATCCAGCCTCTCAGAGTCAGAATCATACAGCATGGAAACCGACTCTTCAGTATAATTAGTCCATGTCGACAACGTTCCCAAACTAAACTATTCCCACTTGCCTGCATCTGTCCCATATCCCTCTAAAACCTTCCTATTCATGTACTTATCCAAATGTCTTTTAAATGTTGTAACTATAACCGTATCTACTCTTGCAGTTCATTCCACACACAAACTGCTGTGTAAAAAAGTTGCACATCATGTCCTTTTTGAAGTTTTCTCCTCTCACCTTAAAAAGATGCCTGCTAGTTTTGAACTCCCCCACCCTAGGGAAAAGATTCTTGCTATTCACCTTATCTATGCCCCTTGTGATTTTATAAACCTCTATAAAGGTTACCCCACAACCTCCTACGCACCCATGCAAAATGTCCCAGCCTATCCAGCCTCTCCTTATAACTCAAACCCTCCATTTCCGGCAACATTCTGGTAAATCTTTGCTGAACCCTCTCCAATTTAATAATATCCTCCTTATAACAGGGCAACCAGAACTGTACACAGTACTCCAAATGGGGCTTCACCAACATCTTGTACAACCTCAACATGATGACTCAACTCTTATACTCATAGGTCAGAACAATGATGGCAACTGTGCTAAACACCTTTTTAAACCACGATGTCTACCTGTGATGCAAATTTCAAAGAATTACGTACCTGGAGCCGAGGTGTCTCTATTCAACAACACTACGCTGCACCCTACCATTAACTGTATAAGACCTGACCTTATTTGTATTATCAAATTCCAACACTTCACATTTATCCAAACTAAACTCCATCTGGCGCTCCTCAGTCCACTGACCTAATTGATCAAGGTCTCTTTATAATCTCAGATAATCTTCTTCACTGTCCATTATACCACTGACTTTCATGTCATCTGTAAACTTACCAACCATGCCTCCTATATTCTCACCCAAATCGTTTGCATAAATGATAAACCAAAGTGGGCCAGTACTGATCACTGTGGAACACTGCTGGTCACAGGCCTCAGGTCTGAAAAACAACCCTCAACCACCACCATCTGTCTCCTACCATTAGACCAGCTTTGTATCCAGTTGGCAAGCTCTCCCCAAATCCTCTGTGATCTAATGTTACTAATTAGTCTACCGTGTGGAATCTTATTAAAGGCTTTAAAGTCCACGTGAACAACGTCTACCGCTCTGCCCTTGTCAATCTTTTTGGTTACTTCCTCAAAAAACTCAAGCACATTTATGAGACATGATTTCCCTTGCACAAAACCATGCTGATTATCCAAATCCATTTAAATCATACCTCTCAGAATCCCCTCCAACTTAACCACCATCAACGTTAAATTCACCAGTCTCGAGTTCCCAGGCTTCTGCTTGCAGCCCTTCTTAAATAAAGGCAGAACATCAGCCACCCCCAGTCCTTGGGCACCTCACCCATGGCTGTAAATGATACAAATATCTCTGTTAAGGGGCACTGCAATTTCTTCCCTAACTTCCCACAATGTCCTGGGATACACTTGATCAGGTCCTGGAGATCTATCCACCTTTCTGTTTTTTTAAGACCTCCAGTACTTCCTCTTCCGTAATGTGGACCATTTTAAAGACATCAATACTTATTGCTCTCAGTTCCCTGGCATCCATGATTTTCTCCATAGTAAAAACTGATGCAAAATATTCATTTAGTATCTCTCCCATTTCCTGTGGTTCCACACAGTTGATCTTGTTAATGTTTATGAGGCCCTCTTCTCTCCCTCGTTGCTTTTTTGCCCTGAATGTACTTGTAGAATCTCTCGGGATTATCCTTAATCTTACTTCATAGCCCCTTTTTGACCTCTTGACTACCTCTTAAGAATGCCCCTACACTCCTTATACTCTGCAAGAGATTCACTTGATCCAAGTTGTCAATACCTAATATGTGCCTCCTTCTCATTCTTGACCAGAGCCTCAATATCTATATTCATCCATTGTTCCTTACTCCTACCAGCCTTACCCTTCAGCCTACCAGGAACATAATGCCTCTCAACTTCCATTATCTTGCTTTTGAAAGCCTCCAACTTGCCAGTTGTCCCTGTACCTGCAATCAGTCCACTCCAATTAACTGTTCAAAGTTCCAGTCTGATACTGTCAAAATTTGCCTTACTCCAATTTAGAACTTGAACTTTTATACATGTCTTTTCCTTTTCCATAAATATTTTAAAACTGATATAATTATGATCATTGGTCCCAAAGTGCTCCCCCACTACCACTTCAGTCACTTGCCTGCGTCATTTCCCAAGAGAAGGTCAAGTTTTGCTCCTTCTCTAAAAGTACATCTACATTAAAGGTTTTGAGAAGATTTGTAGCGCGGGTTGTGGATGAGGTTGTAGACATGCTCGCCAAGCCGGTGAGTTTGGTTGCAAATGCTTTATCACCTTCCTAGGTAATATCATCAGGGCGCTCCCGGTGAAACATCAGTGTTCTGTCCCGCTCGTTATTTATATGCCTTGCCTTGCTGGGGTGGTTGGTATTAATTCCGGTTTTGTTTCTCAGTGGTTTGTACACAGGGTCTAATTCAATGTGTTTGTTGATGGAGTTCCAGTTCGAATACCAGGCCTCCAGGAATTCCCTGGTGTGTCTCTGTTTGGCTTGTGCAATTATCGATGTGTTGTCCCAGTTGAATTTGTGTCCCTCGTTGTAAGTGTGTAGTGAGACCAGTGAGAATTGGTCATGTCTCTTGGTGGCTAGTTGTTCATGCATCCGTATAGTCAATTTTGTTCCGGTTTGGCCTATGAAGCGTTTCTCACAGTCCTTGCATGGTATTTTGTATATTACCCCAGTTTTGCTGGTTTTGGGTATGGGATCCTTTATGTTAGTCAGGAGCTGTTGTAGGGTGGTTGTCGGTTTATGGGCTACTCTGATACGTAGGGGTCTGAGTAGTCTTGTGGTCATCTCTCATATTTCTCTGATGTACAGTAAGGTGATAAGTGATTCCAGTCATGTTCTGGCATCCTGTTGTGGTCTATCTCGGAGGTAACTGCAGATTGTGCTTTTCAGGTATCCTTGAGAATTTATAAGGTGAGTGTGAACAATGATAGAAGCTACTGGTTAGCGAAGTTAGATCATATAGGATTTAGGGAGATTAGATACTTGCCAATTGGATACAAAATGGGCTTGACAGTAGGAGACAGAGGGTGGTGGTGGAGGAGGAGGGCTGTTTTTGAACTGGAAGCCTTTGATCAGTGGTATTCCACAGGGATCGGTGCTGGGTCCACTGTTGTTTGTAATTTATATAAAAGTGGTTAGCACTGCTGCCTCACAGGAGTGGGTGTGATTCCAGCCTCAGGCAACTGTCTGTGTTGTGTTTGCACTTTCTCCCTGTGTCTGCATGGGTTTCCTCTGGCCGCTCCAGTTTCATCCTACAGTCCAAACATGTGCTGGTTAGGTGGACTGGTCATGCTAAATTGTCTGTAGTGTCCAGGGATGTGCAGGTTGGGTGGATTAGGCATGGGAAATGCAGGGTTATAGGGATAGGGCAGAGGTGTGGGTCTACGTGGGATGCTCTTCGGAAGGGCGGTGTGGACTCAGTGGGCCAAATGGCCTGCTTCCACACTGCAAGGATTCAATGACACGGATGAGAAAATAGAAAGCATGGTAAGTTTATGAATGACACCAAAATAGGTGGTGTAGTGAACAGCAAAGAAGATTAGCTCAGAGTACAATGGGACTTTGATCAGATGGAAAGAGAAGTGGCAGATGGAGTTTAATTTAGCTAAACGTGAGGTGTTGCATTTTGCTAAGGCAAACCAGGGCAGTTCTTACGCAGTTAATGGTAGGGCCCTGAGGCGTGTTGTCAAACAGAGAGACCAAGGAGTTCAGATACATAGTTAATTAAAATTTCCATCACAGGTAGACAGAGTGGTAAAAATGGAGTTCATTGCCTTCATTGCTCAGACCATTGAGTACAGGAGTTGGGACGTCACGTTATGTTGTACTTGACATTGGTGAGGCCACCTTTGGAGTGATGAATACAGTTCTAGTCACTCTGCTAATAGGAAGGAAATTAAGTTGGAGAAGGTGCAGAAAAGATTTACAAGGACGTTACTGGAACTAGAGAGTTTGAGTTAAAAGGAGAGGAAGGAGGAGGTTGACAGGTATGTATGGAGGCTTGTAAAATCATGAGGATTATGGGATAAGATGAATAGCAAAGGTCTTTCCCCTAGGGCTGGAGAGTTCAAAATTAGAGGGCATAATTTTAAGACAAGAGGAGAAAGATTCATAAAGGGGTCTACAGCAACATTTTCTCACAGAGGGTGGTTCATATCACAGAGTCATAGAGCTGTACAGCATGGAAACAGACCCTTTGGTCCAATTTATCTATGCCAACCACATATCCCAAAATAATCCAGTCCCATTTGCCAACATTTATCCCACATCCCTCTAAACCCTTCCTGTTCACATACCCATCCAGAAGCCTTTTGAATGTTGTAATTGTATCAGCCTCCACCACTTCCTCTAGCAGCTCACTGCATACATGCACCACCCTCTACATGAAAAAGTTACCCCTCAGGTCCCGTTTAAATCTTTCCCCTCTCACCTTAAACCTATAACCCTTGGGGAAAACTCTTGGCTAATCACCCTATCTATGCCCCTCATGATTTTATAAATTTCAGTTATGTAATCCCCTCAGCCTCCAATGCTGAAGGGAAAATAGCCCCAACCTACTCGGCCTCTTCCTCCAAACCTTCCAACCCTGGCAACATCCTTGTAAATCTTTACTGAACCCTTTCAACCTTCACAACATCCTTCCTATAGCAGAGAGACCAGAATTGGTTAGGCCACTTTTGGAAAACTGGTCTCAATGTCCTGTACAGCCGCAACATGACAACCCAATTCCTATACTCGACGCACTTACCAATAAAGACAAGTGTACCAAATGCCTTCTTCACTATTCTGTCTACCTGCCACTCCACTTTCAAGGAACTATGAACCTGCACTCCAGGCCTCTTTGTTCAGCAACAATCCCCAGGACCTTACCATTGAGTGTATAAGTCCTGCCCTGATTTGCCTTTCCAAAATCCAGCACCTCACATTTATCCAAATTAAACTCTATCTCCCATTCCTCAGCCCAGCGGCCCACCTGATCAAGATCCTGTTGTAGTCCGAGGTAGCCTTCTAGCTGTAAACTACAACACCAATTTTGGTATCATTGGCAAACTTACTAACCATTCCTATGTTCACATCCAAATCATTTGTATAAATGACAAAAAGCAATGGACCCAGCACTAATCCTTGTGGCACACCACTGGTCACAGACCTCCAGTCTAGAAAAACAACGCCCCACCAGCACCCTCTGTCTAATACCTTCAAGCCAGTTCTATATCCAAATCAGAGATAGTAGGAACTGCAGATGCTGGAGAATCCGAGACAACAAGGTGCAGGGCTGGATGAACACAGCAGGCCAAGCAGCATCATAGGAGCAGAGAGGCTGACGTTTCGGGCCTAGACCCTTCATCAGAAAAGGGGGAGGGGAAGGGGGTTTTGAAATAAATAGGGAGAGAGTGGGAGGCGGATAGAAGAGGGATAGAGGAGAGGATAGGTGGAGAGGAAACAAACAGGTCGAAGAGGCGGGGATGGGGCCAGGAAAGGTGAGTGTAGGTAGGGAGTTAGGAAGGGGATAGGTCAGTCCAGGGAGGACGGACAGGTCAAGGGGGCGGGATGAGGTTGGTCGGTAGGAGATGGAGGTGCGGCTTGAGGTGGGAGGAGGGGATAGGTGGGAGGAAGAACAGGTTAGGGAGGCAGGGACGAGCTGGACTGGTTTTGGGATGCGGTAGGGGGAGGGGAGATTTTGAAACTTGTGAAATCCACATTGATACCATTGGGCTGCAGGGTTCCCAAGCGGAATATGAGTTGCTGTTCCTGCAACCTTCGGGTGGCATCGTTGTGGCACTGCAGGAGGCCCAGGATGGACATGTCGTCTGAGGAATGGGAGGGGGAGTTGAAATGGTTCGCGACTGGGAGGTGCAGTTGTTTATTGCGAACCGAGCGTAGGTCTGTTTCTGTGCTGTATGACCCTACATCGTAGATTTCTCACTCAAGTTGGAAAACAGGATTATGCGATCTGGAGAAATGAGAAGACTGCCCCCTGAGTGGATCACCGCTACCTGGGCTTCGGACCCTCTCTCCTGCGGCGATGACCAGCTACCGGCCGTTCCCTTCCCCAGCTCGGCCCGAAGGCTGCGCTCCAGATGCAGCCGCCGGTATTTGAGCTTCTCATTCTCCTCTCTGAGGAAATGCAGTTCCGGACCGCCAAGCACGTCCTCACATTCCCTCTGCAGCTGCTCCAACGCAGTACTAAGTTGGCGCAACTGCATCTCCTGTGAAGACAGGCGCGACTCAAGAATCCACACAGCCGCCATTGCGCCGCCGGCAAAGTACAGCCGTATTAACCGCTGCCGGCACGGCGCAACCGCACTAAGCACCGCCGGCACGGCGCAACCGCATTATCCGATGGCGTTAGTGCGCAAAGGGTATTGGAATGAATTACTCGATGCCGGAAATCAGAAACAAACACCGGAATCTCTGGAGAAATTCAGTAGGTCTGGCAGCATCTGTGGAGAGAAAGCAGAGTAAAGGTTTCAGGTCCAGTGACCCTCCTTCACAATAAAAGGAAAGAAAGCATGCGAGAGAGGATAAGCCCTGAGCAAGAGTCCTCATGCAGCCCTGCTACTGTGCATAGGTTCACAGAGGAGAAGGAAACAGTATCCAGGACTACAACCTCCACTTTCCTGGCTAGACCCTTATGGCAGACAAGAAACTTGGTTACAACCCTTTGATGCTGATAAGGCTATCACAACTGAGTTAAAGGTTGCTAAAGGGAGGCTCAATATTGTGTGAGGAAAGGTGCAATGTCGGAAATATCATGTTTTCAATACCCTGGGCAAAGTGCAATTTCTCCATGTGCATGAATGTTGTCATGACTGTGATGTAAGGAGTACGCTGGAAATCAAGCTGCACTTCCCCATGAGCCACACCAAATGTGTAAAGATCTTGTGTATATACACAAGAATTGTCAATTTGTTACTCCTTTTAACATTTAGAATGAAAGACACTATCGCCAGGTTCTTTCAATAAACTCCAAAAATAATTTGTTTATAAGAAACATACTTATTCTTTCGACAAATACCGTAACTTTTTTTAATCATTCATGGTTTGTGGGCATCACTGGCTAAGCCATCATTTATTGCTTATTCCGTGATAACTGGTTAACAACTTAAGTACTAAGCAAACAAGGTGTAGAGCTGGATGAACACAGCAGGCCAAGCAGCATCAGAGGAGCAGGAAGGCTGACGTTTCAGGCCTAGACCCTTCTTCAGAAATGGGGGAGGGGAAGGGGGTTCTGAAATAAATAGGGAGAGAGGGGGAGGCGGATAGAGGAGAAGATAGGTGGAGAGGAGACAGACAGGTCAAAGAGGCGGGGATGGAGCCAGTAAAGGTGAGTGTAGGTGGGGAGTTAGGGAGGAGATAGGTCAGTCCAGGGAGGACGGACAGGTCAGGGGGGCAGGATGAGGTTAGTAGGTAGGAGATGGGGGTGGTGCTTGAGGTGAGAGGAGGGGATAGGTGGGAGGAAGGGCAGGTTAGGGAGACGGGGACAAGCTGGTCTGGTTTTGGGATGCAGTAGGGGGAGGGGAGATTTTGAAGCTTGTGAAGTCCACATTGATACCATTGGGCTGCAGGGTTCCCAAGCGGAATATGAGGTGCTGTTCCTGCAACCTTCGGGTGGCATCGTTGTGGCACTGCAGGATGCCCAGGATGGACATGTCGTCTGAGGAATGGGAGGGGGAGTTGAAATGGTTCGCGACTGGGAGGTGCAGTTGTTTAGTGCGAACCGAGCGTAGGTGTTCTGCAAAGCGGTCCCCAAGCCTCCGCTTGGTTTCCCTGATGTAGGGGAGGCCACAACGGGAACAGCGGATACAGTATACCACATTAGCAGATGTGTAGGTGAACATCTGCTTGATGTGGAAAATCTTCTTGGGGCCTGGGATGGAAGTGATGGGGAAGGTGTAGGGGCAGGTGTAGCACTTCCTGCGGTTGCAGGGAAAAGTGCCAGGTGTGGTGGGGCTGGAGGGGAGTGTGGAGCAGCCAAGGGAGTCCCGGAGAGAGTGGTCCCTCTGGAAAGCAGATAAGAGTGGGGAGGGAAAAATGTCTTTGGTAGTGGGGTCGGATTGCAGATGGCGGAAGTGTCGGAGGATGATGCGTTGGATCTGGAGGTTGGTGAGGTGGTACGTGAGGATAAGTGGGATTCTGTTTTGGTTGTTAGTGCGGGTAGGGGGTGTGAGGGATGAGTTGCAGGAAATGCGGGAACACGATCAAGGGCATTCTCAACCACTGAGGGGGGGAAGTTGTGGTCCTTGAAAAACGTGGACATCTTAGATGTACGGGAGTGGAATGCCTCATCCTGGGAGCAGATGCGGTGGAGGTGAAGGAATTGGGAATAGGGGATGGCATTTTTGCAGGAAGGTGGGTGGGAGGAGGTGTATTCTAGGTAGCTGTGGGAGTCGGTGGGATTGAAATGGATATCGGTTTCCAGGTGATTGCCAGAGATGGAAATAGAGAGGTCCTGGAAGGAGAGAGAGGTATCAGAGATGTCCAGCTGAACTTAAGGTTGGGGTGGAAGGTGTTGGTGAAGTGGATGAACTGTTCGAGCTCCTCATGGGAGCAGGAGGCGGTGCCGATACAGTCATCAATGTAACGGAAGAAGAGGTGGGGTTTAGGGCCAGTGTAGCTACGGAAGAGGGATTGTTCCATGCAACCTACAAAGAGGCAGGCATAGCTTGGGCCCATGCGGGTACCCATGGCCACCCCCTTTGTCTGTAGGAAGTGGGAGAAATTGAAAGAGAAATTGTTGAGGGTGAGGACGAGTTTTGCTAAGTGGATGAGGGTGTCAGTGGAGGGGGACTGGTCGGGCCTGTGAGACAGGAAGAAGCGGAGGGCCTTTAGGCCATCTGCATGGGGAATGCAGGTGTATAGGCACTGGACGTCCCTGGTAAAGATGAGGTGTTGGGGACTGGGGAATTGGAAGTTTTGGAGGAGGTGGAGGGCGTGGGTGGTGTCACGGACATAGGTAGGGAGTTCCTGGACCAAGGGGGAGAAAATGGAGTCGAGATAGGTGGAGATAAGTTCGGTGGGGCAGGAGCAGGCGGAGACAATGAGTCGGCCAGGGCAGTCAGGTTTGTGGATTTTGGGAAGGAGATAGAAGCGGGCGGTGCGGGGTTGGGGAATAATGAGGTTGGAGGCTGTGGGTGGGAGGTCACCTGAGGTGATGAGGTCCTCCCACCTCAAGCCCCACTCCCATCTCCTACCTACTAACCTCATCCCACCCCCTTGACCTGTCCGTCTTCCCTGGACTGTCCTATCTCCTCCCTAACTCCCCACCTACACTCACCTTTACTGCCTCCATCCCCGCCTCTTTGATCTGTCTGTCTCCTCTCCACCTATCTTCTCCTCTATCCATCTTCTATCCGCCTCCCCCTCTCTCCCTATTTATTTCAGAATCCCCTTCCCCTCCCCCATTTCTGAAGAAGGGTCTAGGCCTGAAACATCAGCCTTCCTGCTCCTCTGATGCTGCTTGGCCTGCTGTGTTCATCCAGCTCTGCACCTTGTTATCTCAGATTCGCCAGCATCTGCAGTTCCTACTATCTCTAAGTACTAAGCAAACCTATTCCCCCTTGACCCCATACACCCACATCCTACATAGACGAGACAACATAGTGCTGCCGAGATATCATGAGTTTGTAAAAACCTTTTCGCTCTCTTGTTTCCAAAAGAAACATATGATACAGCCTCACCAACCGAGAAATATCCAAATAATTCCATTCATCCTGACATCCCCATGGTTAATCTGGTGAATCTTGGAGGATAGGATGGAGTAGAAAAATACACCAATGGGTCAGTAGCCTATTTCTGTGCCGTAAAAAGATAACACTTATACAGTTGTCTTCACCAGAGCTTCTGAAAGTGCTTTAACAGCCAAGGAATACTTTTACTGAAGTGCAGTCACTGTTGTAATTCAATACAGCAGTCAACTTGTGCACAGCAAGCTCTCTCAAATAGCAATGTGCTGATCACCTTTTAATCTACTTTTTGTTTTTGCTGACTGGGGGCTAAATCTTGGTTAGCACTCCTTTCACTGTAGCCAAACATGTCATACTAGTGGCATAAGGAAACTGCAGCAAGATTATAAATAGTGCAAGTGAACATTGGTCTGGCAGATGGAGTACAATGTTGATAAGTGTGAAGTCATCCATTTTGGTAGGAATAACAGCAAAATGGACTATGTTTTAAATGGTAAAAAATTACAGCACGCTGCTGTGCAGAGGGACTTGAGTGTCCTTTTGCATGAATCGCTTAAAGTAGGATTGCAGGTGCAGCAGGTAATTAAAAAGGCAAATGGAATTTTGTCTGTCATTGCTGGAGGGATGGAGTTTAAAAACAGGGAGGCTATGCTGCAGCTGTATAGGGTCCTGGTGAGGCCACACCTGGAGTACTGTGTGCAGTTTTGGTCTCCTTACTTGAGAAGGGATATACTTGCACTGGAGGGGGTACAGAGGAGATTCACTCAGTTGATTCCAGAATTGAGAGGGTTGGATTATGAGGAGAGACTGAATAGGCTGGTATTATACTCATTGGAATTTAGAAGAATGAGGGGAGATCTTATAGAAACATATAAGATTATGAAGGGAATAGATACGGTGGAGGCAGGTGAGACTAGGACTAGGGGGCATAGCCTCAAAATAAAGGGAAGCAGATGTAGGACTGAGGTTAGGAGGAACTTCTTCACCCAAAGGGTTGTGAATCTGTGGAATTCCCTGCCCAGTGAAGTGGTTGAAGCTACCTCGCTGAATGTTTTTAAGGCAAGGCTAGACAAAATTTTCAACAGTAAAGGAATTAAGGGTTATGGTGAGCGGGCGGGTAAGTGGAGCTGAGTCTCAAAAAGATCAGCCATGATCTTATTAAATGGCGGGGCAGGCTCGAGGGGCCGGATGGCCTACTCCTGCTCCTAGTTCTTATGTTCTTATGTTCTAACATGTTTTTGACATAGTGCAAATGATATATAATGATTGAACGCCTATGCCATCACATGTCTCTGAAGCATTTTCTTCACCTACCACTAGGTCCAGATGCAGCTCTAATATCCACAGCTGAGATAGAGATAGCCTGCCAATTACTGGCAAGGGGAAGAATGAGTGGCAGGGCTCTGCTGGAGTTTTCTCAGATGAAACTCCTGGAATGCCTGGCTGGCATTCCTCCTTCAGATAGGTATCCAATCACACCTTCCTAACATGTTGAAGTGAAAGGGCATCTGGAGGGAAGGCATCTCTCACTTCATTTCCCCTCTTGCCCTGTCTTTGATACTGT